TGGCCGATGCTGCACCGCTTGGTGGGGAATTAACGTATGACAAGCTAGTCGTTGATAGGGCCCTCTGGGAGCAAGTAAACAGTGTGCGGAAACACAAATAGATTATTACGGTCTGAGGAGAATGGCGAGGCGAAGAGCTATCAGGGGATCTGGCCGACGCTCAACACTCAAGGGAAGGACGAGACGAATATAGTCAGGCAGTTAGTTACTGGTGCAATCGGAATTGGAACTTTTCGTTTGCTACTGAAAATTGGTACAGAGCACTTATGGGGGTGTTTGAGTGCTATGTTGTCGATTCTTGATTTAACATTCAACTATACTCCCACAAATACTTGACCCATGTTCTCCACATATGAATGTGCTCCACATATACGCCACAAAGATTTACACCACACACATATACCACACGTATATGCACTCCAGACCACACACACGCTCTCGGCGTAAACGATATAAATGCCCCACACACCCGCCCCACTAATAAGATCAATACTTACGTGAAATCAATCAAGGCGACAGTTAGCGGGAGACAAGACAAATCCTGTCTGTGGCGGATTATAAGACCGAATTAACATCTTGATGCTCGTCGTCCTGTGGGAGAGTTAACTCCTTTTGATACCAACAGCTTCTCAACAGACACTCCCTGCTACTTCTTTTCTTCTCTTGCCCACTGCGGGCTGCCCCAGAATGTTTGATCACACAGAGATGACCAGTCTAGATGGAAAGTCAACAGAGATACCGCTTTCCCAGACACCGCTTTCATAGACATCACTTTCCCTGACATCACTTTCCCTGACATCACTTTCCCAGACATCCCTTTCCCAGACATCACTTTCCCTGACATCACTTTCCCTGACATCACTTTCCCAGACATCACTTTCCCAGACATCACTTTCCCTGACATCACTTTCCCTGACATCACTTTCCCTGACATCACTTTCCCAGACATCACTTTCCCTGACATCACTTTCCCTGACATCACTTTCCCTGACATCACTTTCTCAGACATCACTTTCCCAGACATCACTTTCCCAGACATCACTTTCCCTGACATCACTTTCCCAGACATCACTTTCCCAGACATCACTTTCCCTGACATCACTTTCCCAGACATCACTTTCCTAGATATCCCTTTCCCTGACATCACTTTCCCTGACATTACTTTCCCTGACATCCCTTTCCCAGACATCACTTTCCCAGACATCACTTTCCCAGACATCACTTTCCCTGACATCACTTTCCCAGACATCACTTTCCCAGACATCACTTTCCCTGACATCACTTTCCCTGACATCACTTTCCCTGACATCACTTTCCCAGACATCACTTTCCCAGACATCACTTTCCCTGACATCACTTTCCCTGACATCACTTTCCCTGACATCACTTTCCCAGACATCACTTTCCCAGACATCACTTTCCCTGACATCACTTTCCCTGACATCACTTTCCCTGACATCACTTTCCCTGACATCACTTTCCCAGACATCACTTTCCCTGACATCACTTTCCCTGACATCACTTTCTCAGACATCACTTTCCCAGACATCACTTTCCCTGACATCACTTTCCCTGACATCACTTTCCCAGACATCACTTTCCCAGACATCACTTTCCCTGACATCACTTTCCCAGACATCACTTTCCTAGATATCACTTTCCCTGACATCACTTTCCCTGACATCCCTTTCCCAGACATCACTTTCCCTGACATCACTTTCCCTGACATCACTTTCCCTGACATCACTTTCCCAGACATAACTTTCCCAGACATCACTTTCCCAGATATCACTTTCCCATACATCCCTTTCCCAGACACTGCTTTCCCTAACATCACTTTCCCAGACAGCGTTTTCCCAGACACCGCTTCCCAGATAGCGCTTTCAAGAAGGTATCACTGAGGCATCCGTAAGGAACGAACTTACTTTCAGAGGATTGCATTTTGGGCACGCAGGCCAGTCTTACATTCAACTGTTTCCAAAGACTCATCTTTCAATAGTATTTTATCTTTAAAGCATCTTGTGTTTCCTATAGCAATCTACATATGCACATACTATAACAATCTACATATGCACATACTATAACAATCTACATATGCACATACTATAACAATCTACATATGCACAAACTATAACAATCTACATATGCACATACTATAACAATCTACATATGCACATACTATAACAATCTACATATGCACATACTATAACAATCTACATATGCACATACTATAACAATCTACATATGCACATACTATAACAATCTACATATGCACATACTATAACGATCTACATATGCACATACTATAACAATCTACATATGCACATACTATAACGATCTACATATGCACATACTATAACAATCTACATATGCACATACTATAACAATCTACATATGCACATACTATAACAATCTACATGTGCACATACTATAACAATCTACATATGCACATACTATAACAATCTACATATGCACATACTATAACAATCTACACATGCACATACTATAACAATCTACATATGCACATACTATAACAATCTACATATGCACATACTATAACAATCTACATATGCACATACTATAACAATCTACATGTGCACATACTATAACAATCTACATATGCACATACTATAGCAATCTACATATGCACATACTATAACAATCTACATATGCACATACTATAACAATCTACATATGCACATACTATAACAATCTACATATGCACATACTATAACAATCTACATGTGCACATACTATAACTATCTACATGTGCACATACTATAACAATCTACATATGCACATACTATAACAATCTACATATGCACATACTATAACAATCTACATATGCACATACTATAACAATCTACATATGCACACACTATAACAATCTACATATGCACATACTATAACAATCTACATGTGCACACACTATAACAATCTACATATGCACATACTATAACAATCTACATATGCACATACTATAACAATCTACATATGCACATACTTTAACAATCTACATGTGCACATACTATAACAATCTACATATGCACATACTATAACAATCTACATGTGCACATACTATAACAATCTACATGTGCACATACTATAACAATCTACATATGCACATACTATAACAATCTACATATGCACATACTATAACAATCTACATGTGCACATACTATAACAATCTACATGTGCACATACTATAACAATCTACATGTGCACATACTATAACAATCTACATGTGCACATACTATAACAATCTACATGTGCACATACTATAACAATCTACATGTGCACATACTATAACAATCTACATGTGCACATACTATAACAATCTACATATGCACATACTATAACAATCTACATGTGCACATACTATAACAATCTACATGTGCACATACTATAACAATCTACATGTGCACATACTATAACAATCTACATGTGCACATACTATAACAATCTACATATGCACATACTATAACAATCTACATGTGCACATACTATAACAATCTACATGTGCACATACTATAACAATCTACATGTGCACATACTATAACAATCTACATGTGCACATACTATAACAATCTACACGTGCACATACTATAACAATCTACATGTGCACATACTATAAGAATCTACATGTGCACATACTATAACAATCTACATGTGCACATACTATAACAATCTACATGTGCACATACTATAACAATCTACATGTGCACATACTATAACAATCTACATGTGCACATACTATAACAATCTACATGCGCACATACTATAACAATCTACATGTGCACATACTATGAATGTCAAGTCAAATACAGAAAAGCAAGTATAGTAGATGCGTGCATTCAAATTTACAGTCATAGCACACATGTATACGTACACACAGACAGGCGTGTATACATACATAAATACTCATACAGGCGTACACACATATGTATATACGTACACGAACACATATACACCACAGACATACACATACATGTATACATACACGCACACATACGTATACACCACACACATACACAATCCATGGCATTTTGTTCCCGAATCTACCTCAGTACCTGTATCATTCATGTTCCGCTTACATACATCTTTATATTGTAGTTTAGGCCGGTATCGACATCCTCTGCCCATCAGTAATTCGCCAAAGAGGATGTCCAGATGTCACGCAGCCTTCGGAGACTTAGCGCTGGGAACTGTTTCGTTAACCAGCTGTAAGCTCTGTTGGAAAGTCCAGGCTGTTGGTCCATTTGGAGTTTGCCTTTGTGCCAGGACTTGAGTTTTGCGTGTGCATCCGTTTTACTTGCTTATTTGTGTGCAGTAGTTTTTCTCTTGCCACTCAGACAGATGCACTCTGACTTGGAAGGAAGCCTCCAATTACTTGACTCTTACGACATGCTTGTTGGAGAGGCAGTTGGTTTTCTTTACAATGGGGACCGCGGAACCCAGATGGGGACACAGCTGTTGTGATGCCTAATATGTCTAATGTCTCACAAGTATGATCAATGTTTTTTTAACAGGCTGAATACATAGTAAAGAACAGTTCAGGCGCAGTGACTTACACACTTGCCTCTGGCCTAGCAATCAGAGGTTCCTACTCCATTAAACCACCCACCCCCACCCTGCCCCAGGTCGATCTACTCTAACTGGGTATAGAGAATAGCATGGGAAATAAAGGCAGTCTGTGTGATGCCCACAGAACGCAATGGCAAACTAATAAAGGTTAGTTGCGTATCACTTACAGGACGTTGCAGAACCAACCCCAACAGCCCCTGGGTGTTGCGTGGTTTTTCTAGGCAAATTTACGTCCAGTAGTTTGCCATTGCTTACTGCACGGTCGGCTTTCTTGATACCACTGTCGAAACCAACGCAAAGCGCGTGGCCCGCAGCTGGGATCGAACCCGGCATCCCGGAATTACAAAGCGAAGCGTTCTCATCGACTTAGCCACAGAGCCGACCAATGCCAAACTACTGGAAGTAAAATTGGTATAGAAAAACCACGACATACAAGTAACTGCTGAGGTTGGCTCTGCAACGTCCTGTAAATCATACGCAACTAATTGAACTGTGTGATGTTGATCAAATCGCCTATCAAGCGCAGTTGATCAATAACAGTATAGAGCTGGTACCAAAACTCGGGCGAATATAAAAAGACTACACTTCATTCTTTTAATTACACAGTGAAAGCGTCCACGGGTAAAGCCAGACTTCTTTAGTAAATTCTGACCAAACGGGGGAACAAAAAGTGAGAACACAGGATGAGACTGGTAATTCAGTCGGATGCACATCATGCCCTGCTTGGGCCTAAAATGGTTACTGTGCACATGTGGAAATAAAATCTTCACCAAGGAGGAGAGTTAATCACCGAGTAGGCCTGAAAGAATCATCTAGTGAAGGCTGCAAGCAGACCTACACTAAAATCGAAGGGATAATTGAAAACCTGTCAGGGTGAGCCGGTCTTCAGCCCGGGGGGAGAAATCTAGATGGTCTCTCTGTCAATCAACATGGCGTGACCTTGTTTCTACTTCCGGTTTACGTGGAGGGGGATTTTTGTGGGTAGCAGGCGGTGAAAGTTTTTAGGAGGGCAGAGGTCATGAAACGATTGACAATCTCAGGGACTCTGTGGAGAAACTCAAGAGTACGGACAAGTAAGTCTGTCTGAGTCGATTTATTACATATCCATTAATTACATGGTGATTTATTACAAGTTGTTTTGTTACATGTTAGTTTTATAAATACCGATTTATTACAAGTTGTTGTGTTACAAGCTGTTTTACTTGAAGTATATTTATGACAATTTATTTGTTAGAGTCGGCTCTGTGGCTAAGTCGATGCGAACGCATCGTAATGCAGGCGACAGTGGTATCAGGGGGCCCACCGTCCAAGGGCAATGGCAAACTACTGGACGTAAATTTGCCTAGAGAAACCACGCAACAGCAAGGGACTGCTGGGGTTGGTTCTGCAACGTCCTGAAAAGGATACGCAACTAACCTGTTTTTTACAGGCTGTGACATGTTAGTTTATTACATGTTCTATGTTGCATGTTGGTATACACATATTGTTACACGCTGGGTAATTACATGTTCTAGGCTGCATGTTGGTATACACATATTGTTACACGCTGGGTAATTACATGTTCTAGGCTGCATGTTGGTATACACATATTGTTACACGCTGGGTAATTACATGTTCTATGCTGCATGTTGGTATACACATATTGTTACACGCTGGGTAATTACATGTTCTAGGCTGCATGTTGGTATTAACATATTGTTACACGCTGGGTAATTACATGTTCTATGTTGCATGTTGGTATACACATATTGTTACACGCTGGGTAATTACATGTTCTAGGCTGCATGTTGGTATTAACATATTGTTACACGCTGGGTAATTACATGATGGCTTGTTACATGTGTACTTCTTACACAGCAGTAGCCACAGCCGCAATAACAGGAGTGACAGTAATAGCAGAGCGCCGCAGTAGTAATATTAGTGGTTGTGATGGTAGTAGTGGTCATAGTAGTAGAAGTTGTAGTAGCAGCAGTAGCTGCAGCAGCTGCAACGGTAGCAAAAACAACAACAGTATTACAGTTTTGGTAGTTACGCTGACAGTCCATTAGCTAGTACCAAAGACACAAGAAAATCGGAAATTTCTAGGAATTTCGAACAAAGCAAAAACAACAACAAAAAGGCTTTCTTAAAGGCGGGAAAAAAAGAGGGAGGGGGGAGGTTGAAACTGTGAAGAAATCAGATACTGCCTAGCTAAACGTCTCAGTGATGCCCCATCCACCCTACGTCGTGCAGTGCGACTTCTGTGGTCGCCCCTCCCCTGGCCTCCCCCTCCACCCACGTCTTCGAAGCCTGAGTGCATCTGCACGAGAAACGAGGAACCAACAGTCTGTACACAAATAAGCCAGATCTGTAAAATTGATGTGCACACAAAACGCAAGTTTTGTAACAAAACTAAAGTCAAAAAGTGGACGAGCAGCCAGGACTTTCCCGCCAGAGTTGACAGCCGGGCAGCGCTATGAAGAAGGACATTGTTAGGATCGAACTCAGCACCTCTAGTCTCTGCCTGCAACACTCGTCTTCGCTTTCTCCTCCGGTTATCCGATCTCTCACCCCCCACTCTGGACTGTGCCTTGGCGGGTAACCACCAGGCTTCTTTCAATGACGGTACTGTAGGGATGAACGAGGCTTCTGAGGTTTACTTCTGTTTGATTCTCATCCTTAAGGTGCTAATCAGAAGAGCAGCGATCATTCCGGAGAACAATGACCATCACCACCACTACTCAATGCAGCTGTTTCCCATTTCAGAGCCTGTTTAGTGGTTATCTCTCCGTTTCTCATCTTGTTGTGCCAAATGTTCCCCTCTTCTCATCCCTTTTTTATGACCAAATAGAATCTATATATAGACTGAGGTTCGTTCAAGCGTGACTGGCCAGGTTTTATCTATATTTAAACTGCCAACTGATCATGCGTGGCCACAGGGGCATAGCAAGGTTAGGTAGTACCTGGTGCTGAAAGTTTTTGTGCTTGAGTGACACACCCACACACCAATTAGTATATTTGTGTGGTTTTTTTTAACGCGGATTTCGTACCAACTTCCTGTGTGACCAGCATGTTTGTCTGTGTGTCTCTGTGTGTGTGTGTGTGTGTGTCTTTTTCGAAATTCTACAGAAGAATTCTTAGAATACCGTGGACCAAAAATATGAACGCCGTCAATATTTAGCATGACCTGAACATCCAGGAGAACTGGCTCACAAACAGCATCCCCTCCTGAGAGCTGGGGTGTTTTGGTCATGTCAAGCGCCCTGTTGGTCTGGAGAGGACGGTGATGTAGAGTGCAGTTTCCGGTGAATGAGGAAGAGACTAAGACCTCGGCATAGATGGATACACAGCATTAAAGATACTGTGAAAGCACAGAAGGCTGGAGAACTCGCTAGAGACAGAGATATTTTCAGGCGTGCCGTGAATAGAGCGACGTTCTGTAAAGGACGTGTTGATTTGTCAGCTTCTAAGATTAATATTGAGTCATACGTGTCTGCTTATAAAGTTTACGTGGATGCATTACATTTCTGCTTCTTCGTGACCGTTTGCTGTAGTCGAATGAGATACTTGAGAACTGACCGCATATCAAGAATCTCTAGCTCCAGGAGACTTGGTCATCATTGAACGTTTACCAAATGACCGAGATGTGGTCACGCTGGACTGTTTCATAAATGTCGGTGAATAATAGACTAACGTTTCGGAACGTGTTTCGTTCATTAATCTGTAAAAGATGCACAAGGATTATATTTTGGGGGAAACGGCAGGAAGCTAGCTGGTCGTTTCCGTGAACATCACACCGATATTTAAAAAAATACAATCAAACCAAATTACAACAGCTCTTACCACAGAGACAAAAAGGATATATCTGTTACTATCATTAAATCTAGGTCTAGTGATAATTTTTTTTTTTTAAATCGCCTCATCCATAAGCTGGGTGCTCTAGCCCAAGGAGGTATCAATGTCCAACATGCTTTCATCTAAACAATTTTACTATTGTTACTTTTGTTATATTTAATTTTTTTTATTCTGCTTGTTTTACTGTTTCGCTCCTTCGTGTATGTTATTGTATCCGTCCTACATCCCTTTTCCCGCCATCATCCTATATTTTATATATATATATATATATATATATATATATATATATATATATATATATATATATATATATATATTTTTTTTTTTTTTTAACGTGGCCCCTGGGAGCACTGGTAGTTGGAGTACTTCACCCTTGTTACTGTTGTGTAGTTGATGTCAGGAAAGGCTCCGGCCGAAACGCTGATTTGTCTGTTGCGTGTAGGTTGTTCACCCTCCCCCTTCTGTAAAGCTGTTTAATCCCAGTTTATTGGATTAATTACCCATTCATTAAGCATGTCATAGACTGCAATCTATCCAGGCGTGACCATATAGCAAGAAGACTGACATCTGGTCATGCGTGACAGACCATTGCATGTTTCACCGGCTGAAAGAGGCGTTCGTTTAACGCCTTCAGTACCCAAGACCGCTCCTTGCGTTCTCTGCTGTTCCTAACGTTTACGTGAAAATCTTGATGTCCTTGGCTGGGGTCTGAGGCCCAACTGGAGGTGAGGTTGATTAGATCCAATAGCCCTAACAAGCATGTCGTAGAAGCTGACAAATTAATGGTGTTTCCTTGGACGCCAGAGTGCACACGCCTGACAGGTGATAAACCCAACAGGCTGCACACAAAAAAGCTCGATCTGTAGAAGGGATGTACACGCAAGACTCGCCTTATAAAACTAAACTACAGTCTAAAAGTTAACGAACAAAGCGAACTTTCTGCTGGAGTTTGCAGTCGGCGAAAGCGAAGAAGAAGAAGAAGAAGAAGAAGAAGAAGAAGAAGAAGAAGAAGAAGAAGAAGAAGAAGAAGAAGAAGAAGAAGAAGAAGAAGAAGAAGAAGAAGAAGAAGAAGAAAAAGAAGAAGAAGAGGAAGAAGAAGAAGAAGAAGAAGAAGAAGGATAAGAAAAGGGAGGAGAAGAAGAAGAAAGAAGAAGAAAGAAGAAGAAGAAGAAGAAGAAGAAGAAGAAGAAGAAGAAGAAGAAGAAGAAGAAGAAGAAGAAGAAGAAGAAGAAGAAGAAGAAGAAGAAGAAGAAGAAGAAGAAGAAAAGACGAAAAAGAAAAAAAGAAGAAGAAGAAGAAAAAGAAGAAGAAGAAGAAGAAGAAGAAGAAGAAGAAGAAGAAGAAGAAGAAGAAGAAGAAGAAGAAGAAAAGACGAAAAAGAAAAAAAGAAGAAGAAGAAGAAAAAGAAGAAGAAGAAGAAAAAGAAGAAGAAGAAGAAGAAGAAGAAGAAGAAGAAGAAGAAGAAGAAGAAGAAGAAGAAGAAGAAGAAGAAGAAGAAGAAGGAGGAGGAGGAGGAGGAGAAAAGGGAGGAGAAGAAGAAGAAAGAAAAGAAGAAGAAGAAGAAGAAAGAAGAAGAAAGAGAAGAAGAAGAAGAAGAAGAAGAAGAAGAAGAAGAAGAAGAAGAAGAAGAAGAAGAAGAAGAAGAAGAAGAAGAAGAAGAAGAAGAAAAAGAAGAAGAAGAAGAAAAAGAAAAAAAAAGTTTAAGAAACAATTGCTTGGTGTTAAAAGGCTTAGCCCAGTCGCCCCGAGAAAGTCGGTTTTCTGACCTTTACGGTGTTTTGTAGTCATGATGTCTTTGCAGTGGCCAACTTTTGACATGATATCACGGACCGCTCAATGTGTCCCGTTGACCAGCGGTTGGGAACCACTCTGCTACACACTTATTACTTCCCGTCCTTTTTAGGACGTAATTTTTCGTTATTTGAAGCTCTATTCTGGCTCTTTCCAGGGGCCGCAATATAGCCTGGCCATAAATATGGCCTAAAGGCTGGACGCGGTTTCTGGGACCTCTCCACGGTGATCCTCACCTGCATGGTGGCACATTGCGTCATCAGGTGTTTATCGCTTGTGTGATGTCCTGGTAGGGTAGAAAGTCAGTCACACAATAAGTAAAGTAAAGGACCCTTTCCACGCCTTTAGGCGTATAGGGCATATAGGGCTAGACCTATATTTTTATAGACCAACGGCACAAGATGGGTGATGTGGTCAGCATCACGCCGGCCGCCTCTACTTCCCGGGATTGCACCCAGTACCCACTCAAGGCTGGGTCGACCTGGGAGCCAAGGTCATTTTTGAAGAAAAGTCCGTCTCCGCCAGGGAGCGAACCCACGATCTTCCGATCCGCGGCGCGCGTCTAGCCGCTCTGCCACGGCGACTCCCCAGTCACACGATATGAAACATAATATACAAGCATTTTTATCCCATTTATTTTACAATATCAAACGCTATAGTGAAAAACATACGCTTGCTATAAATTACATTGTGAATTGATACTTATTTGCTAAATATCACACTATACTAGGATACATTTTTTACACTATATTATGATAGATCACTGGCTATATATAACAGTATACAGTATGATACACCACTTGCTATAATTTACACTGTAGTATGATCTATCATTTGCTGTATATCTCGCCATTGTTCACACTGTGTAGGGTATGCGGTTGGTGCAATGTGTTGTGATAGCTCTGCTGTCACTGACACCACCCTGCGACCTCCAACTTCCCACGCTAATGGACCAGCCACAGATCATGGACTCGCTGCGATTGGCCAATATTCTAATGGAACGGCCCGTAGAGGGACCAAGCATCAGGAAAGAGTGCCGAATGTTGAACACCACAGACTTCCAGAGAATCGTTAACGCTATCAATCGAGCCAAGCTTGACACGGTAGGGGCTTCTTCCTCTCCTCCTCCTCTTTCTCCTCCTCTTTCTACTTCTCCTCGTTCTTCTCCTTGTTCTTCTTCTTCTTCTTCTTCTTCTTCTTCTTCTTCTTCTTCTTCTTCTTCTTCTTCTTCTTCTTCTTCTTCTTCTGCTTCCTCTTCTTCCTCTGCTTCTTCTTCTTCTTTTCTTCTTCTTCTTCTTTTTCTTCTCCGTCTTCTTCTAGTAGATCTGACTGTAGTAGAAATAATTGTTGTAGAACCTGATTTTTTGTAGAACCTGTTTGTAGCAGAACCTGACTGTAGTTGACCTGACTGTAGTTGACTTGACTGTAGTTGACCTGACTGTAGTTGACCTGACTGTAGTAGAACCTGACTGTAGTTGACCTGACTGTAGTTGACCTGACTGTAGTTGACCTGTTTGTAGCAGAACCTGACTGTAGTTGACCTGACTGTAGTTGACCTGACTGTAGTAGAACCTGACTGTAGTAGAACCTGACTGTAGTTGACCTAACTGTAGTTGACCTGACTGTAGTTGACCTGACTGTAGTAGAACCTGACTGCATTTGACCTAACTGTAGTAGAACCTGCCTGTAGTTGACCTGACTGTAGTAGAACCTGACTGTAGTTGACCTAACTGTAGTTAACTTGACTGTAGTTGACCTGACTGTAGTTAACCTGACTGTAGTTGACCTGACTAGTAGAACCTGACTGTAGTTGACCTGTTTGTAGCAAAACCTGACTGTAGTTGACCTGTTTGTCGCAGAACCTGACTGTACCTGAAAATGCATACTCTTGACCGCCATATTTCAGCGTGTTCGCCCTAATGTACATGACGCCTATTCCTTTCTGCACGCCCACCCAGAGGTCAACAGGGGCGCCCATGGGGGCCCCGCCTTCCTGCCCTACCACCGTGTGTTCATCTTTCTGTAAGTAAGCTTCCAATCATTGCAGTTTCTGCTATATATACCTAGGGGGACAAAACGTCCTGCCTTCACCGGGACAGTACCGCTTTTTCGGTGTGTCCCGGCCGTGCGGTCGGTTCCACAAACTAGCGTCAGTTGTGCCGGTTTATACAAATATAGCAACAATCTTGATAACATAACATATCACTTATACTGATATTTGGTTACATTTGTTGGCCTTATAAGATTTTATGGTTTAAAATACTTGTATATTCTTATGTTCTAACAATGTATTAGTTCCTAAATTAATAATAATAACCAAGTCTAGAATTTTTGGGGGAAAAAAAGGGGGAAAAAGGGAAAAAAAGGGGGGGAAAGGGAAAAAAAAAAGGGGGAAAAGGGGAAAAAGGGGGAAAAAAGGGGGAAAAGGGGGAAAAAAGGGAGAAAAAAGGGAGAGGGGGAGGCGGAGTTGAATAACTTGTTCGTGATATCCCGTGGTCAGCTCAAAGTATTAGTGAGATGTCCCGTTTTCAGCTCAATATATTAGTGTGGGGTGTCTAGACAGACAGACAGACAGACAGACAGACAGACAGACAGACAGACAGACAGACAGACAGACAGACAGACAGACAGACAGACAGACAGACAGACAGACAGACAGACAGACAGACAGACAGACAGACAGACAGACAGACAGACAGACAGACAGACAGACAGACAGACAGACAGACAGACAGACAGACAGACAGACAGACAGACAGACAGACAGACAGACAGACAGACAGACAGACAGACAGACAGACAGACAGACAGACAGACAGACAGACAGACAGACAGAAAGAAAGAAAGAAAGAAAGAAAGAAAGAAAGAAAGAAAGAAAGAAAGAAAGAAAGAAAGAAAGAAAGAAAGAAAGAAAGAAAGAAGAACAAAAAACGGAATCATAACTCCCTGCAAGAATTAGTTACATAATACTGTAATGCTAATATTTTTCTTAAACTGAACTGCCAGGTACGAGAAACTGCTACGGATCTACGACCGGGGCATCAGTCTCTGCTACTGGGACACCACGGTAGAGCCAGAGAACATGCAGTGGTCATCTGCCTGGACGCCAGAGCTCTTCGGCAACGTCCAGGGATCAGTGACCACCGGTTTTGCCAGGAACTGGGTCACCCCGATCCATACACTGGAGAGGTTTGGTGAGTGCTGTCTGTCTGTCTGTCTGTCTGTCTGTCTGTCTGTCTGTCTGTCTGTCTGTCTGTCTGTCTGTCTGTCTGTCTGTTCTTCTGATTAAGTGTCTGCCCAGACGTGCATCTATTTATCTGTCTGTCTGTCTGTCTTTCTGTTCTTCTGATTAAGTGTCTGCCCAGACGTGCATCTATTTATCTGTCTGTCTGTCTGTCTGTCTGTCTATCTATCTGTCTGTCTGTCTGTCTGTCTGTCTGTGTGTGTGTCTGTACAAGACGGGATATGGAGACACAGATGAAGTACAAGACGGGATATGCAGACACCGATGAAGTACAAGACGGGATATGGAGACATAGACAAAGTACAAGACGGAATATGCAAACACAGATGAAGTACAAGACGGGATATGCAAACACAGATGAAGTACAAGACGGAATATGCAAACACAGATGAAGTACAAGACGGGATATGGAGACATAGATGAAGTACAAGACGGAATATGCAAACACAGATGAAGTACAAGACGGGATATGGATACACAGATGAAGTACAAGACGGGATATGGAGATACAGATGAAGTACAAGACGGGATATGGAGACACAGATGAAGTACAAGACGGGATATGGAGACACAGATGAAGTACAAGACGGGAAATGGAGACAAGGGTAAAGTACAAGACTTGATATAGAGACACAGATGAAGTACAAGACGGGAAATGGAGACACAGATGAAGTACAAGACGGGATATGGAGACACAGATGAAGTACAAGACTTGATTTGGAGACACAGATGAAGTACAAGACGGGATATGGAGACACAGATGAAGTACAAGACGGGATATGCAGACACCGATGAAGTACAAGACGGGATATGGAGACATAGATGAAGTACAAGACGGAATATGCAAACACAGATGAAGTACAAGACGGGATATGGAGACACAGATGAAGTACAAGACGGGATATGGAGACATAGATGAAGTACAAGACGGAATATGCAAACACAGATGAAGTACAAGACGGGATATGGATACACTGATGAAGTACAAGACGGGATATGGAGATACAGATGAAGTACAAGACGGGATATGGAGACACAGATGAAATACAAGACGGGATATGCAGACACAGATGAAGTACAAGACGATATATCTAATATAGGGTTTTAATCAGACCCATATTTCCACTATTCCTACATACAGAGCAACGGTGGAGATGAAGATGAGGTAGAGGACGGGAGAATAAGACTTTCTTTCTCTATCCTAAGTGAAGCCGGGTAATTGGATCTAGAATGGTCATAAATACAACACATAAAACACACACACACTTACAGACCCCACACACTTATTGCTTGAGTGCCTTGATTTCCTATCCACTTAAAAATATATATTAAGAAATGAGCACCTGACCTTTTTTCCCTTTGACCGCAAATTTTTTTTTTAGCCAGCGTCCCTTCTTCATGCTATACCACCACGTGAGGTTTAAACCTTTTGCGTCATCTACCCCACAACAGGAGCCACCCAGGGACGCCCGATGAACGACGAGGACGTCAAGACGATCCTGTCCAAGAACCGGCTGGGGGAGATCTCCATGCCGGCCGCTTCCGTGGACGCTAATGTGGAGTTGATGCACAACTTCGTGCACACTTATGTCGGGGGCATCATGGGCCAGGTCAGTCTTGTCTGTCTCTGTCGGTAGGGGCGTCATGGGCCAGGTCAGTCTTGTCTGTCTCTGTCGGTAGGGGCATCATGGGCCAGGTCTGTCTTGTCTGTCGCTGCCGGTAGGGGCGTCATGGGCCAGCTCTGTCTTGTCTGTCTCTGCCGGTAGGGGCGTCATGGGCCAGCTCTGTCTTGTCTGTCTCTGCCGGTAGAGGCGTCATGGGCCAGCTCTGTCTTGTCTGTCTCTGCCGGTAGGGGCGTCATGGGCCAGGTCTGTCTGTCTGTCTCTGCCGGTAGGGGGCGTCATGGACCAGGTCTGTCTTGTCTGTCTCTGCCGGTAGGGGCGTCATGGGCCAGCTCTGTCTTGTCTGTCTCTGCCGGTAGGGGCGTCATGGGCCAGCTCTGTCTTGTCTGTCTCTGCCGGTAGGGGCGTCATGGGCCAGGTCTGTCTTGTCTGTCTCTGCCGGTAGGGGCGTCATGGACCAGGTCTGTCTTGTCTGTCTCTGCCGGTAGGGGCGTCATGGGCCAGCTCTGTCTTGTCTGTCTCTGCCGGTAGGGGCGTCATGGGCCAGCTCTGTCTTGTCTGTCTCTGCCGGTAGGGGCGTCATGGACCAGCTCTGTCTTGTCTGTCTCTGCCGGTAGAGGCGTCATGGGCCAGCTCTGTCTTGTCTGTCTCTGCCGGTAGGGGCGTCATGGGCCAGGTCTGTCTTGTCTGTCTCTGCCGGTAGGGGCGTCATGGACCAGGTCTGTCTTGTCTGTCTCTGCCGGTAGGGGCGTCATGGGCCAGCTCTGTCTTGTCTGTCTCTGCCGGTAGGGGCGTCATGGGCCAGCTCTGTCTTGTCTGTCTCTGCCGGTAGGGGCGTCATGGACCAGCTCTGTCTTGTCTGTCTCTGCGGGTAGGGGCGTCTTTGGCACGGTGGTGCCAACTGTCATGTCGATTGTCTTTTGTTTGTCTGAATGTGAATGTCTTATTCACTACTTAGAATCTGCTATATAGACAGACAGACAGATACACAGACTGACAGACAGATACACAAACTGACAAACAGGCAAACATACAAGTAAATATATGCACGGGTAGATTCATGGATACGTAGATAAATATACAGACAAACGGATGGACGGACAAACAGATAGGAAGACAGACACACAGATAGACAGACAAATAATTTGACAGACACAAAGACTTCCTAGGACTGAACCTAGTACCCATCTTAGGCTGGGTCGACCTAGGAGCCGAAGTCAATTTTCGAATGGGAAACAGATTTAGATTTCAACCCACGACATTCGGGCAGGTACAGGAGTGTCTAGCCGCTGTGCCATGAGGGGTCTCATTCTTAAATAATAATAATAATAATAATAGAAGGAGCCTTTTTCGCGCCCTCCGTCACATTGGGCATATTAGGCTAGACCTATATTTTATAGACCATGCGGCACTCGGTTGGTGATGTGGTCAACACCACACCGGCCGCCTTTACTTCCCATGAATTTACCTGGTACCTATTTAAGGCTTTAGTCGACCTGGAAGCCAAGGTCCTTCATGAAACGATCCGCTTCCTGAGGACCCAAACCCACGACCTTCTGATCTGTAGGCCGCTACATCGCGGTTGCTCCCACTAATAATGATAATATTGAGCGCCGATTAACAACGATCAAACCCATCCACCCCAACTCTAGACAATTACTGTAAAGTAATGACTGACTGACTTTCTACCCCACCAGAACATCACACAAGCGATAAACACCCAATGACACAAAGTGCCACCATGTGGATGAGGATTACCGTGGAGAGGTCCCAGAAACCGCGTTCAGCCATTAGGCCATAATTATGACGGGCTAAATTGCGGCCCCTGGCATGAGCCAGAGTAGGGCTTCAAAGAACGAAAAATTGCGTCCTAAAAACGACGGCTAGAGGTTATCATTAGTATAGTAAAGTAATGAGACACTTCTCTGCTTGTCCCCAGGTTGAGACGGCGGCCTACGACCCGATCTTCTGGTTCCACCACACCTACATCGACTGTATCTACGAGCAGTTCCGGGACAAACAGAAGCAAAATGGCGTGCAACCAATGAGAGACTGGCCTGCCGAACATGGCGACTCCGCGCATGCGCCTTTCGCCCCTATGAGAATCGGAAGTCTCCGAAACATCGATGGCGCCCAGGAGTTCTTCAGCAAAGAAATCGTGAGATGTGAACCACTTCCGGCCTGTACGGAGGACAGTCAGTGCGGCGCTTACATGCGCTGTAACAGGGACAAGCGGAAGTGTATTGCCGACACCATGAAGCCGCCAGAGCAGGCTGCTGGAGGGTGGAGCAGCGTGGATAACATCCTTAGTTCAGTCTGGAGGAACAGGCTGTCATCCATCAACAACCCTTTAACCGGATCCAGCTTCGGTTTCGGCAGTATCTTTCATCAGCCTGAGATCTTCCGGTTTTCTAATTCTGGATAGATTTTCTAAATCTGATTCTGAAATTGAAATTGAATTCAGAAAAGAGATATTCTACACCCGAACTAGTCCCACCCCTCCCCCTCCCCATTTTTTTTTAATCCCCTAATGGATTATAGTCCGTCAGCCTTTCAAAGTTACCCATCCTTTTTTGTGTGGCTACATGTTAGGTTGAGGAACTGGCAACAATAAGATCGGTTATTACAACATCTATTAATGTTGATATGTTTGAGTTCAGTATCTCCTGTGGACCTTTATTGTATGACAAATTTCTTTTTTTTTTTTTTTTTTTAGGTCCTTTTTTTATTTCTTCTCCTTCTTCTTCTACCCTCAGCTTAAAAGGGTGGTTTACGTGCTGTGTCGTAGTTTAAGCTGTTCTGTGATGTTTCCGCCTTTCGACTCAATACACCCACTTTCAGCAAACTCCTAATTAGTCGCCTTTGACGACATGTTTGTTGAGAGACGGTTGATCTTGGTTGTACTCTGATAATTAAGTGCCTCCCTTTTGCCTAAATTTCCCCAAACCCATCCTCTCGTTGTGTTTATTGGTACAGGTCGTCTATGATAGACGGGTAGAAACAGTTTCACATTTACACACACAAACACAAACTTTGAAATTTAACATCCTCAAAATCTAGTTTTTGTCCCTGCTGTTGAATTAAAAAGAATATGGTGATAGAAAAGTTATATTTTATGTTGTTTTTTGTTAATGTGTTTTTTATAACTTTATATGCCTATTTCATAACTGTATGTATTTGTTTCATGATTGTATGTGCCACTTTAATAACTGTTTGTGTCTATTTCATAACTATATGTATCTATTTCATAACTGAATGTATCTATTTCATAACTATATGTATCTATTTCATAACTATATGTATCTATTTCATAACTGAATGTGTTTATTACATAACTTTGCATGTCTATTTTATAACTGTATGTGTCTGATTACTTGATCCTTTCAGCTTCCCATATCCGTTGATTCATATATGCCCCCCTACCCTCCCCCTCTTTTTACGTCTTTCGTCTCCCCTGAGTACTGAGTTGGATTATCTTCACGACACTCCAGGCTCGTCCAAAAGTGCTTAGATCCCCTTCCCCCCTTCCTCCCCCTCCCAACACATACATCAGAGATCTGGGGCGAACATTACCAGTTGCATGCTGGCTGCCTCACCCACTTGACCACTTAGAATGACCATATTACCTTGAGCAGAAAGCGGGACTGTTGGGTCACTCTGTCTTTATTTCTAATTGTGGCATTTTTAGCAGTGATGTGGACACATTGTTTACACCCCCCCCCCCCCTCTTCCCTTCCCCAATCACCATGGCCACCACCACCACAACCACCATCATCACCACCACCACCACAACCACCACCACAACCACCACAACCACCACCACCACAACCATCACCACCACCACAACCACTATCACTACCACCACCACAACCACCATCACCACCACAACCACCACCACAACCACCACCACCATAACCACCATCACCACCACAACCACCATCACCACCACAACCACCATCACCACCACCTCCACCACCACCACCACCATCACAACCACCACCACAACCACCACCATCACAACCACCACCATCACCACCACTACCACCACACACATTACAAACCACCCCCACCATACACCATCACCACCGATCACCACAAACACCACACACACCATCATCACCACCACCGCACCATCACCACCACCACCATAACCACCATCACCACCAACCACCATCACCACACACCCACCATCCAGCACCAACCCATCCACCCACCAACGCCACCACCACCACAACCACCACAACAATCACATCTATCAAAACCACAACATCACCACCACTACCACCACTACCACCATTACAAGGTACCCACCACCTCACATCACCACCATCACCACCATCACCACAAACACCACAACCACCATCATCACCACCACCACCATCACCACCACCACCACAACCACAAAAACCATCATCATCACCACCACCACAACCACTATCACAACCACCACAACCACCACCACCACTACAACCACCACCACCACAACCACCATCACCACCACCACAACCACCACCACCATAACCACCATCACCACCACAACCACCATCACCACCACCTCCACCACCACCACCACCATCACAACCACCACCACAACCACCACCATCACAACCACCACCATCACCACCACTACCACCACCACCATTACAACCACCACCACCATCACCATCACCACCATCACCACCATCACCACAAACACCACAACCACCATCATCACCACCACCACCATCACCACCACCACCATCACCACCACAACCACCATCACCACCACAACCACCATCACCACCACCTCCACCACCATCACAACCACCACCACAACCACCACCATCACAACCACCACCATCACCACCACTACCACCACCACCATTACAACCACCACCACCATCACGATCACCACCATCACCACCATCACCACAAACACCACAACCACCATCATCACCACCACCACCATCACCACCACCACCACCACCACCACAAAAACCATCATCATCACCACCACCACAACCACCATCACAACCACCACAACCACCACCACCACTACACCACCACCACCACCACCACAACCACCATCACCACCACCACCACAACCACCATCACCACCACCACCTTAACCACCATCACCACCATTACCACCACAACCGCCATCACCACCACCACCACCACCACCATCACAACCACCACCACCACCACAACCACCACCACCACAACCACCACCACCACAACCACCATCACCACCACCACCATCACCACCACCATCACAACCACCACCACCACCACCATCACCACCATCACCATCACCACCACCACCACAACCACCACCACAACCACCGCCACCACCACAACCATCACCACCCCACCACCACCACACCACCACCACCACAACCACCATCACCACCACAACCACCATCACCACCACCACCACAACCTCCATCACCACCACCACCATAACCACCATCACCACCACAACCACCATCACCACCACCACCACCATCACCACCACCACCACCATCACAACTACAACCACCACCACCACAACCACCACCACCACCACCATCACCACCACCATCACAACCACAACCACCACCACCATCACCACCACCACTATCACCACCACAACCACCACAACCACCATCATCACCACCACCCCCATCACTACCACCACCACCACCACAACCACCATCATCACCACAACCACCACAACCACCACCACCACCACAACCACCACCACAACCACCACCACCACAACCACCATCACCACCACCACCAAAACCACCATCACCACCACCACCACCACAACCACCACCACCATCACAACCACCACCACAACCACCACCACCACAACCACCATTACCACCACCACCACCATAACCACCATCACCACCACAACCACTATCACCACCACCACCACAACTACCACAACCACCACCACCACAACCACCACAACAACCACCACCACAACCATCACCACCACCACCACAAGCACCACAACCACCATCACCACCACAACCACCATCACCACCATCACCACCACAACCACCATCACCACCACCACCACCACAACCACCACCATCACAACCACCACCACAACCACCACAACCACCACCACCATCACCACCACCATCACAACCATAACCACCACCACCACAACCACCACCACCACCATCATCACCACCACAACCACCATCACCACCATCACCACCACCACCACAACCACCACCACCACAACCACCACCACCACCATCACCACCACAACCACCATCACTACCACCACCACCACCACAACCACCATCATCACTACCACCACCACACCCTCCTCTATTGTTGTGTTACTTCTCCGTTACCTCCTTTCATGCATCTTTCACTGGTTCTCTCAACAAGTTGTGGATGTTAGAGTTTAAACGGTTCTGGTTAGGGCGGGTTTGGCTCCCACAACACTTCACACGTAAACCATAAACACAACCTCACTTTGCCTACGATAAACTATCTGGAAATTTTTTGCCGCTCCAACACTTTCAGAGAATATAAGTATTCTTCTACTTCTTCTTCTTCTTCTTCTTCTTTTCTTCTTCTTTTTCTTTTTCTTCTTCTTCTTCTTCTTCTTCTTCTTCTTCTTCTTCTTCTTCTTCTTCTTCTTCTTCTTCTTCTTCTTCTTCTTCTTCTTCTTCTTTTTCTTTCTTTTCTTCTTTTTCCTTTCTTCTTCTTCTTTTTCTTCTTCTTCTTCTTTTAACTTCTTCTTCTTTTTCTTCTTTTCTTCTTTTTCTTCTTCTTCTTCTTCTTCTTCTTCTTCTTCTTCTTCTTCTTCTTCTTCTTCTTCTTCTTCTTCTTCTTCTTCTTCTTCTTCTTCTCTTTCTTCTTATTCTTTTTCTTCTTCTTCTTCTATGATAACCTCGTAATGATTCTCGAGCTATGATAACCTCGTAATGATTCTAGAGCTATGATAACCTCGTAATGATTCTCGAGCTATGATAACCTTGTTATGATTCTAGAGCTATGATAACCTTGTTATGATTCTAGAGCTATGATAACCTTGTTATAATTCTAGAGCTATGATAACATTGGTATGATTCTAGAGCTATGATAACTTTGTTATAATTTTAGAGCTATGATAACCTTGTTATGATTCTAGAGCTATGATAACCATGTTATGATTCTAGAGCTATGATAACATTGGTATGATTCTAGAGCTATGATAACTTTGTTATAATTTTAGAGCTATGATAACCTTGTTATGATTCTAGAGCTATGATAACCATGTTATGATTCTAGAGCTATGATAACCATGTTATGATTCTAGAGCTATGATAACCTTGTTATGATTCTAGAGCTATGATAATCTTGTTATGATTCTAGAGCTATGATAACCATGTTATAATTCTAGAGCTATGGTAACCTTGTTATGATTCTATAGCTATGATAACCTTGTTATGA